TCCGTCCCGCAATGAACTTCTCACTTTCCTTTTTTGGATGTCCCAGAAACAAGTTCTCATTTCCTTAAATGACAAGTTAATCTACATCAAAATAGTGTCAGAAAGTGCAAAACAGTGCCAAACAGTGTCGAAACAGTGCAAAATAGTGCCAAACAGTGTCGAAACAGTGTCAAAACAGTACAATTTACCCCGTGGTAAGTTTATTTCCTTAATATGTGTGTAAGTCAAACTGTGAAGTTCATTGTGGGACGGAGGGAGTAATAGATAATTAAATATAATGATGATCAAAGTTGTGCATGGGTAAACATCAAAATATGAATGTTTCAACTAAAAAAGAAGGGAGGGAGATTTTTTTGATAATTAGTGCATGATTCCAACAAAAAGTGTGAATGACTTCACTTTTGATGATTTGAGGTGCACTATTGCATTGAGATTTTTCTGCTATCGACTTTTGGTCATTTACAATACACTATTGCACACATGAAGTCCATTTTTTGTAAAGAAAAAAAACTTTGATTTATTTATAAGAATGTCACTGCATTTTTATCCACTTCAGTGCATATTTGATATATTTAGAGGCTTTAGATCTTAGATCTAATGCACCAAATTGATTCTTACTTTACTCGGAGTAGCATTAGTCCACCTCAATTTGAAGTAGTTTCCGGTAGAATTTTCTGATGAAATTTTATGAACATGTTCTTCATCAAGTATCCATTATCTCCACAAAATTTCAATTTAAAATTCAATCGGGAAGTTAGTTAAATAAATTATTGAAACTTATTGCGCCAAAATATATATAAAAACACAGTTATTTTTCAACAAATTAATTTAAATGACTTCTCGATAAAATTTTATGCTGAAATTTTGTGGAGATTATCTACACTTGATGAAGGAAATGTTTACATAATTTCATAAAACATACCACCATGAACCACATCAAATTGAGGTGGCTGGACAACAGTCCTGTCAGGTAATATCTTACAGAAATATTTGTGTGTGCATGTGCGTCTATATATATATATTCAGGTCTGGTATTCCGGGATGAATAATAATTATATAAGAACTGTGCAATTGAGATTTGTGAAGAGGAGAAAGAAATAATAGGACCCATAAATTAACAAAAAATTTGGGACAAACAAAACCACTTGCTTAAAATAGTCGTACTATCGTATATTACACCAACCTTCACCAAAACCCCAACATCTTCATTCTGAGGCAATGGAGTGTCATTACACCAGTCTAAATCGGCTAGTGAATGCGATAATAGTATTAGTAGACTTAAGTTTATTATTAGACATTGAAAGCTAATACTCCATCCGTGTTCTCAGTTTCATTTTCTGATTCTCCTAGCAAATATTCTCAATTTTACTTTAGGAAATAATACTTCTTTAACACCATAATTATATTCAATGGCCCTATTATATTATATACTCATCAAACTATTTATCAAAATGTTCTTGAATTATTGGTTAAAAAAATAAGGACTAATATCTTCAAAAACGATTACTACACCCATTTCTAGAAAAATCTTACTATATACAAAAGGAAGAGGAAAAAATGAACAGTACTCCCGCTCAAAACTATACAGTAACTACAATAATAAAGAAAATGAAAAACAACCATCTCAAAATACCATTTTCTGGGAGGTGTGCTGATGCAAAACAGAAGGTCATCGGGAATCAAGGACTGGAACATGTGGGCTCCTGTAGCGGTTGCAAGACCTGGGAGAGGTCATCCCTCATCGCAAGATCTGGAGCTCAGACCTACCAGCGCCACCGAACTATGGAGATTACATCTCCTACCTGAGAGGCTCTCACCACTTGGGAGTTTTGCCATAGATCCGTGCGGTGGGCGGGCCTGGAGCTCGCCGGCCTATTCCCACTTGATGCCGACCTGGAGACGCCGACCTGATGTAGACATGAGAGATGGCCCATCCGACCTGAGTGGATTGTCCGCCCATTAGGTAACTTGGTTCGGTCAACATGGAGAAGAAAATTCCACCGAGATTTCAACACTCAATCCAAAATCGCGAGATTTGGAATTGTTAATTCCGGGCATGGGTGGTTAGGGAGGTAGGGTTGGGCTTACTTATAAAATAAAATATCTTTTTTCTTTAAATTATTGTACCTTTTTTATTTGTATTTTAATTCTTAGAAAAAATATATCAAAATTCACAACATTTTACGATCTTTATTATGACATCAATATTGCATACGTAAAGTTTAAAAATAAAATTTGAAGTTTGAACTTTAAGAGTTTTTAGATCAGTTTTTTAAAAAGATTCAAATGCTAAAATTAAGATCTCATTGTTAAAATACTTTTTCTTACAATGGCACATTGATTTTAGCATTTAGATCTATTTAAGAAAAATTTTGGATCTGGAAAACCTCTACCAGTTGCAATTTTTATTAAAACAATATACATATGCATTACTAGTGTCATATGAAAGATCATAACAAATTATGAATTTGGATATATTTTTTGTAAAGATGGGAGTACAAATAAAAAAGTTACATCACATAATAGAAAATTGAGGTTTTCAGATTCAAAACTTTTCTTAAATAGATTCCAATGCTAAAATTAAAACCTCATTTTTAAATAATTGAAACATGTAGAAAAGTTATTATAAAAACGAGATCTTAATTTTATCACTTGGATCTATTTAAGAAAAACTTTGGGATTGAAAACTTTCTACTATTAAAACTTCAAAAAATAAATTATATTTTATATATGGAATATTGGTGTCATTAGAAAGATCTTAAAATGTTATAAATTTTGATATTTTTTGTAAAAATTGGAGTACAAAAAAAATACATCACTTACAAGAAGAAAGGGATTTTAGGTTAACCTTGCCCCCTCCCCCTCCTACCCAATATGTCCCTCCCTCCCTTCATTCTATTTGGAATTGGAAATGCCCTTTCCCATCATATCCTCCGTTTTTTAGAAACTTGAGAAAAGTCCCGTTATTTTATAATGGATGTTATGTTTTCCCGTATTTTTAGAAAACACTCAACAAGGAGCATAGCGGCACTAATGGAGTGTTTGCAAAAAATAAAAAAATAAAAATGTTTTTCAGCTTTTAGCTTAAAAAAAATGAAATTTGTGTTTTCAAGTATCAACTTTTGGCTAAATTAAGTACTTAAAAGATAAAAGATGAAAGCGGGTTGAGAGGTGCTTTAAACTTATCTTCATGTCATCTACTATTATTACACAAAAAGCACTTAGTTTATCAAAAACTACAAACTTTTTACTTTTTTAGAAACACTCTTTTCTCAAACACTACTAACTTTACAATTAAGCACTTTTTCCAAAATAACATTAAAAAATCACTTTTTTAAAGTAGGAGCAATCCCAAACACTCATTAAGTTACCTTTCTTTCCACGAGAGAGAAAAATAGATTAAAAACAAAACAGGAAAAAAAAGGTTTTATAATAGAATAACGTATAAAGATAAACTAATAATCTTATGTTCAATCGAATGTTGGAAAGCCCCCAAATCAGGATTCCCAAATTTGGAGTCCCAAATTGGGAATCCAGTTTTGGATTCCCAAAAATAATACTATGTAATACGTATTATGTATGAAATGAAATACTCCGTAGTTGTTACTTAATAATGTACTCTCTCCGTCCCATTGGACTTTGCCAACTTTCCTTTTTCGGTTATCTCAAAAAACTTTGTCACTTTCCTATTAAAGCAACTAATTTGTGATTCTACACATTTCTTATCTTCTGCACAAATCTTAACCATACAATTTTTACTATTCTTATTTCTCGCCTACTTTGCACTTGGCAAAGTCCACCGAGACGAAGTATCATAGTTGCGTTATCACATTTATAAACTGTCTATAACTTTAGCTTTATCGAACTATTGCATCTTATTTTAATATTATTAAAATTATTCTAGAAAATATCATATCGTGCATCGCACGGGTGATATACTAGTAAATTACAAAAGTGTGTAGTTAGTTTTGAAAACAAACAATAAGCCACAAATGGAATTTAATGGATAAAAATAGGCATTGAGCATTTTCTTGACTATACTCATATTTAGATAACTATATTACAAAAGTGTGTAGTAAGTTTAAAAAAACTATAAGTTGGGTCAAATTTAATGGATAAAAATAGGCATGGAGCATTTCCTTTATTTGTTTAGGTAAAGATATTTGAAAAGATTAATTTCTTTTGGATGCAATTGAGAGTTGTAAAAAACAAGCTCTTTTCATTAGAAAATATAGATTGAGAAATGTTTAGATAATTAGTTAAAAATGCTATTTTCATTAAAAAAATATAGATTGCAGATCGAAACATTTAAATAATTATTAACTTGGTATATGGTAACTACTACGAAGTATTTATTAATTTCAAGTGAGCTCGTAATAAAAATTAATTATTAAACTAGTAGGGAATAAGAAGATAAATGAATTAGTAGTAAATAAGAAGATTATTAATTACAATCATTTATTAATTATATATGAGTCTAGTAAAATTGTGTTAATTTCATAATTTGTGTTTAAGTGAAATTTTGTAGATGAACCTAGTGAAATCGTGTTTGAGCAAAATTGTGTTAATCTATGTTAGAGTGAAATTGTGTCTTCACATGTAAATCTCGTGTAAGGGTGTTTTTAATTGGTTTGAAATTTCCTGATCTGATCTGTTTAAGTCTACTACGTTCTGATTTGATCTGAACGGGTCTACTATGGTATATATTTGTTCTATAAGAATTTGACACCGAAACTAATCCAATTAAAAAATCCAAAATATTCTAAAAAAAGGTGAAAGGATTTATCCAAGGAGAAGAGGACTTCAATGAAACAATTCTTGAAAGAATAATGAGTGTTGGTTATCTTTCGTAGAACAATTATAATGATTAAAATCTGAATTAAATAAACATTGTTTAAATTTAGTATGATATGAAAGTTATTATTTTTAGAAATGCTTACATATGAAAAGTGATTATTTGTTCTAGGAAAGACAAGGGCTAAAATGAATCAACACCAAAAGCAAAACGGTTTCAAAAAACCTGGAATAAAAAACTGAAAACAGTTTTTTGTTTTGTGAAAAAACAATAACATGAAACTCAAAAGGACACCGAAGGGCCCCTTACCAATCGCTTTTCCTTTTCAAAAAAATTACATATTCAGCTGCCATTTCAAACTATTCTTGCTAAACTGCAGTGATTTTTTACTACAGGACAACTGTTATAAGCTCAACCAGTGGACAGGAGACCCGACCTTGATGCCAAACTGCTAATCAAGAAAAAACAGTCCGTGTTGTTTTTACCAACTAAATCAGCCCAAAGTAATTAAGCGGAAGTATTTAATCGATAACATGTAACATAAATAAACGTTCATTTAACATCTGATAGGTTTGAGAGCAAAAGTTTCAGATGATTTGAGGATATACGTTGTGGATGTTCCTTGAAGTGATTCTTTGATCTTGTGTACCTCCTACGTTCATAATGAAATGCTACGTGCGACAATTCTTCATATTCAGAGCAAAAGCCACTCCTCAAGTCCTACGCAACAAACACCCCATATAGTACTTTCTATTCAAGGACAGAGCTCATGCTACTGTTCTAGTGACTCCATATAAGATTTAATGTTCATATCATCTTCTTCAGATTGCTGATATGGCAGCGGTTTGAAAAGCTTCCATAACCCAGAAGGGTGTCCCAGTTTGCCTCTAACGTTTCTAGCAACTCTTCCATATATACTTTCACACTCTGGATAAGGCTTGACATAGAGATTGTAAAATTTCAATCTACTAGGCCTAATCAAGGCCTTCAGCCCCACCTCATCACCAAGCCCGCCTATTGATCTCAAATGCTCAATAACCTGAAACCTAGGAGCAATCTGTTTCTCAAAATTCACCCCCAAATATTCCGGAATTTCAACTATGCTCTCAACATCAAATTTCATTGTCTGTACTAAGAAATGTATTTTCCTCTCAATTTCTTCTACATCATATAAAACTGTTCTGGGCTCTTTCCATATCACACTGTATGCATCTCTGTGCGTTAAACCATATTTGTGCAGGCAATCAACTCTCAGCTTCACTTGGTATCCAGCCCTGAATGCTCCGTCTCGGAAAATATCCTCTTTAATGGACTCCCTACACTTTAAACTTCTTAGCAGTTTCAAGCAATGAGAAAGTTCACCAACTCCCAAACCAAGGATTCTTGGATCTCTCAGAACCTCCAACTGCACTTCATCTAAACCAAAATCAAGGCTTTTAAATTCGTTAAGCAATGGTTTAAGCCTATTCTCAACGCCAAATGCTAATACGCCTGGGTATGACCCTAGAATACGACCTAAATCAGTCTTCACTAAGCCAATGCTAGTCATCAAGAATTCAATTTTACACTGAATTCTATCCGGACTAGACAATACTACCGTAGGGAATTCTTCGAAAACCCTAACCACAGTACCCTCACTCAACCCTAAAGCCTGCAAAGACTTCAAACAAGCCAAAACATCATCTGGTTCTAATTCAAACTTCAAACACACTTCGAGAACATTCTTAATAGCCAATGCAGAAAGATTAAAACCCTCAATTCCAGAAATTTCAGTTTCCCATTTCTTCATATATTCGTACTCCAGCACCTTAGGGCAGCTAGAAATAACAGAAGTAAGGAACTCTTGAGAGCGCCCCAGGGAAAACAAAATGTTAACAGATTTTTCGATTCTGGAGGGGTCAGAGTTCAGCAAATATTGATTCTTTGCCAGGAAATTATGAAGTTCAGACAGTGGAAAGCCGCACCTTTTCAGTAGATTGGAAATTGAAATTATATTCCTTTGGGGATATTTTTGCGTGAAGTCTAGGGGAAATTGAATTTGAGATTTCAGTTTTGGGCCTCTTGGTTTTGCAGAGAAGTGTCGAAGAAGATCAGGGTAAGATAAATCGGGTCTTGAGCCGAGAAGGAATCTGAATACCCTAATAGCCATATAGGTGAGATTGAGAATGATTTGGATGTTTGCTGCAATGCATTGAGCAATTTTGAGACTTGAGGAGTTGAGGAGCCTTCTAAATTGCGGAGAGAAAGAAAGGGGAAGGGAAACCTCGTGAAAATTGGCTGCAAGCTACTACCTCCTTTTGTTAAATAGTCGATCACATTTAGGGCAAAAACAGCCGAATCACCTGTGGTCTGGGTCGGGTCCATGCCGAAATGTAATATTCTAGAATCGGACTCGTGAAGTTAATAATTGAACAAGCCTTGACCCGTTTACCCGTCGAGTCTGAAAATCTGGATCCAGACCCAGACCCAATTGGTCTCGGAACCGGGTCGGGTAGACCCGCCAAGTATGACAGACACATTATTATATATTTTGTGAAAATAACAAGACCTATATATGAATGTAAAGCAAAGTGCACAAACTCAAAAGCAAAATATATCTTCACTATTCAAAAATATCAATGTTTCTCATAGAAAATTAATATTTTTATCCAATAAATTGTCGGTTCTTTAATAAGCGTATAGCTCTACACTCTGTGTCGCTTTCTCTTGCACAGAAAACTCGTAGAATAAACTAAAAATTAAGTCACAAAAAGGTGTCTCGGACTATACTGAGAGTATAAAAGTCTATTATGCATATATGATAATGATATAATAATATTAATAAAAAATACTCCGTAATAAATATTGTGTTTCGCCTACCGAGCCCAATATACATTTTATCAGTATGTAATTACGGCCAAAATGAGTATTAGTTTTAGGGTATCTTACTATCTCGATCGATATCGCTTATATAGTAGGTATCAAGGTATGTAATAGTGTGTATATTGAAAAATTACAACTAATAACTTTATGTACTACCTCTGTCCCACTAATAATAGAATCTCTTCACCTGATCTGAATGTTTCTGATCTGAATTTATTAAGTTCCGAGAGTATAAAATCATATTATGCATCCATGCCCTCAAACTTTTCTTTTGGATTTTCAAAAGGGTCAAATAGGTCATCGAACTAACTTAAAAAGTTCAAATTACCCCTCATATAAGAAGCTCTGTCCGGCCGTCGCCATTTGGGTGGTTCCCGGTGGATTTTTTTGATAAATGTTTTTAAGCATCTTCTTCATTAAGTCTAGTTTACTCATACCAAGTTTCAGCTAAACATTCAATCGGGAAGGCAGTCAAATGCATTTTTGAAGATAACTACGCAGTTAAACAGCGCAGTACATTTCAGAAAATCATTTGACTGGCTTCCCGGTTGAATTTTTATCTGAAACTTATTACGAATAAACTAGACTTAATGAAGAAGATGCTCAAAAAATTTCATCAAAAAATTTCAACGGGAACCGCCCAAATGGCGATGACCGGACAGATCCTCCTATCTAATGAGTGATTTGCACTTTTTAAGTTAGTTCGAGAGTCTATTTGACACTTTTCCCTCAATAAAATTAGTATTGAATGAATGCTATGCACGGGATACAAACACTCCTTTATTTTTCATTGATGTTGTACGATTAAAAAATGCTAGTGTAGGAAACATTTTCTTAATTAATAGACACTAACATATACGGAGTAATAAATTAGAAATATTGATATTTGTTATTGTGGTACTAAATACAAATATAAGATACTTATCACAATAAAAGAAATTATACATTTTGAAAAATATGTGTAATTCTTAAAGAACAGTTTCCAAAATCTTTCATATGATACCGGTATCGAATATATAAAGTCACACCATAAATCTTTGCTTAATCCCTCAATAGTTGGCATATTCGTGTACATCACCTTTATTCTTAAATAAGAGGATAAGAGTACTCTTCCTCCAACTCAGAAGGACGGTAACTATATATTCAATACCGGTATCATATGAAAGATTTTGGACATTACCATTCTGGCACATTCTTGTACATCACCTTGATACCGGTAATTCTTAAAGAACATTTCCCAAACTTTATATATCACAAATAAAGGCACATTCTTGCTCCCAAAGTTTCATGGTGTCACTCCAAAATTCAGAAGGACGGTGAGTTAAATGAAGATGTATCTCATAGAATCAGAACAGGGTGGATGAAGTGGAAGAGTGCGTCAAGATTTCTATGCGATCGAGGTATGCCGACTAGACTGAAGGGTAAATTTTATAGGACGACAATTAGGTCTGCATTACTGTATGGCGTAGAGTGTTGGGCGGTGAAACAATGTTACATTCAAAAGATGAGTATGGCAGAGATGTGCATGCTGCGTTGGATGTGTGGGCATACTAGGAAGGACCACGTGAGGAATGAGACAATCAGACAAAGGGTGTGAGTAGCACCTCTTGAAGATAAGATGCGAGAGTCGCACCTACGGTGGTTTGGTCATGTGCGTAGAAGACCGAGTGATGCACCTGTCAGACGAGTTGAGATGTGTGGAGAAGAGGCAGAGAAGAGAGGGAGAGGAAGACCCAAACAGACGTGGGTTAGGGGAGTTCAAAGTGATATACTTCTTCTGGGGTTGGATGAGGGCATGACTTTTGAGAGAGCTAAGTGAAGGGCGGGTATTCGTGTGGAGGAGTGATTTCGTATCATCTTTTTCTCTCATCTTTTTTCCTTGTTTTTTATCCTTATATATATAAGCATTATTTGTATCCTTTTTATTTTATCATTTTTATTTATATTCATCTATTTTTACATTATCTTTTTATAATAGCTTATCTTTTTTATCTTTGTTTCCTTTCTTTTTCTTTTGGTGGTGATATCATGTATCGATTCATGTTAGCCGACCCTAATATCTTTTAGGACTAAGGCTTGGATGTTGTTGTTGTTGTTGTAGAACATATATTTTCAACTAATTTATGCTGATTTGTTTTGTAACACATATTTTCCATATATCTACACATTTGAGCCTTCTTTTGTTTTACATTTTTTGTTTGCTTGATCAAGATCGTAAAGAGATGACATGGATGCCAACCAAATAAGGGCAAGTTTCTGAGGTTAATTTTCATTGCTTATCTGACAATTTTCCTTTAATAAATTATTATAGCAAGGTTTAACACCTACTGTGAGTTCATATAACAATCACTTTCTTGTAGAAATTAAGGTTCAAGTTACTCCTAATGTTTAACTGGATAAATCAGTTGTAATGTTTATTTAACCGATATATTTATTAAAAAAATAAGTAATTACGTAACTATACATTATGATACATGAACATAAAGAGGACTAGAGGAGTGAGGGCAACTCATATACGCCGCTTTAACTTAGGTATTTTCATCAAGTTTGTAACATTTCTTGAACCCCGCACGATTAGCCTCAAACAAAACAGTAGAAAATGTAAATGAAGATTATCAAATTGTAATTACTTTATAATTCAGGTATGCTTTGAAGCTTCTATTTTATCATAAAGATATAGAGAGATTTAGACTAAAACAAGGTAGAATTGCAAAAATAGGACTCATATATTTTATTTGACAAAAATAGGACTAAAAGAGGTAATCTGACAAAACTACCCTTAATTAAAAAAGAGGCGCACACCACCGACGCACAACTGTTGCGATCCTCCTCCCATTGACGGCAAAATTGAATCTCCATAGCAGCACTCATCACCATCGTCGATTGTGGCCTCGCACCGCAGCCCCGTCTGTCGTAGCCCTGCACTCATCAGTGACAAGGTATGTAATCTCTTCTTCTTCTTCTTCTTCTTCTTCTTCTTCTTCTTCTTCTTCTTCCTCTTCCTAGCTCTCTTTTTTTTCTTAATTTTTTCTAAGTCATATTTTAAAATAAAACTTTGATTTTTAAAGTTTCAAACGAAGATATATCTGAACTTGAATATCAATCTGGAGAAGAATTTGCTGATCAAGCATCCAGTCTTTGTCAGGTTACTGAGTCTGGAGCTTTATTATGGAATGAGGAGGAGGATGGCCAATTCACCTTCAAATCTGCATATGAAGAGGTTAGGGAAGTTTCTTTCAATCAAGCTGTATATCAGAATATATGGGAGTCGAAGCAGGAGCTGAAAATCAAACTTCTTCAATGGAAAATTATTAAAGGCATCATCCCTACCTCTGACAAACTTGGAAGGTTTAATAAAAGTCTTAACCCTTCTATTTGTCCACTATGCAGGAAACATAATGATGATTTGATTCATATATTCTTCCATTGTATTGTGGTTAAAGAAGTGTGGGCTTATTTATGGGGAATCTTGAATTTATATATACCTCAAAGAAATGACTTTAACCCTATGAGAATGATATGGAAAGGTAATAAAGCTAAAAGCCTCATTAATGTTTTCCAGAGGAATATTACAGGTATCGTTTATTTGGAAGACCTACTCATCCCTAATTTGGGGATCTGATGGAATAAAGCCAACAGCTGAGCAGATTATCATCCAAATCAAGCTCTACACTCAGCCGTGGGCTATTCGCTTATCAAGGATGAAGCGATCAATTGGGGTCATTTTATTTGAAGAACAGTTGATACAAAAGAGTTTTAAGATCAATTTTTCACGACCACAGATTGTTAAATAGAGAAAACCGAAGCAAAAGTGGAAGCTCAATGTTGATGCAAGTTACTTATCTGACAGGGCTTCAGGAGGAGCGATTCTCAGAGACCGATTAGGGAAGTTGATTCACGCCATCAACTATCCTCTGCAAGCTAACTCCGCTCTTGAGGCAGAGTTGAAAGCTATACTTCACGCGGTGAAATGGGTTACAGAGAAAGGTTATGAGGATATAATCGTTGAGACGGATTCCTCTTTGGCTCTGGAATACATTGCAGGGAGATTTTCAAGAAGATGGAGGGATTCAATTTTGGAAATCTCAGACCTTTCGTTTAGGAAACATCTTTTGTTCGGACATACCCTGAGGGAAGGGAATTGGGTCGCGCACCATCTGGCCCAATTGGGTATTTTTACGAGTTATGAAAGCCCAACTCTTCTTCCCATTTGTGCTAGGCAGGCCTATTGGCTCGATTTTTATGGCATTCCTTCTATTCGCATTTAATTTTTATCTGTATTTTTGGGTCAGGCCTAGCCCCCCCAAAATTTACGCTTTATTCTTTTTATAGTTTTATTCATGTTTGTCCAGAGGAATGCCTCTGTGGGGGGTTTTGGTATAGTTAGTTCCCCTTCCTTTTGTACTCGTCTCTATTTCTAATAAAACTTCGGTAAACGTCCCCCGGCGTTTGCCCCACTGATTTT